CCCCCCCTGCCCGCCCACCTTGGAGTCGCCGGGGGGGGGATCGCTCTCCAGGCCTTCCCTCTGTAGTCACTCACGCAGAGGTTTTGGCTGTAGTGGACGTGGCCAACTCTGAAGCCAGCCGGAACTCCATTCCTGTGCGTTCCTGCCTAAAAATAGCCCTGGATCACCATATTAGTTGCAATTTTTTGTCAGTGGTAATTAAATGTAAAGGGGATAATATAGGGTTGTTTCAGTGTGATATTGCTTGTGGCAAGTTGACCGTTAAAGCATTATCATTTAAGTAAGAGACATCAGATGTCCATCAAGCTGTCCATCAGTATTGTCTACTCGGACGGGCAGTGGCTCTCCAGGGTCCAAGGCGGAGGTGTTTCACATGAGCTACTACACAATTCTTTTAACTGGAGATACCAGGGATTGAACCTGGGAGCTATGCAAGGCAGATGCTCTACCACTGTTTCTAATGAAAGTGAGCTGTAGGTGAGAAGAAATTTCCAGATGAGTACCAAGGAAATATCTGGACTCACTGGCCCTGCATCAGCAATTTCATTGGAGACAGAAGCCAGTGGGGTCATTGTCAATGCAATGTGCTCTCCGTCGATTATACAAAACACTTCAAGTGAACTTCAGTGGTGAGAAAACTAAAGCTAGGCCTACACATGCAAGACAATGAGGTGGTAGAGTTCTAATTAATTAAAATGGATGGCACCACTTCAAGCAAGTGTGGGATATCTTTTCTGACTGCTGCCTTATCTGAAATAAGGTCCCTGTAAGTAGATAATTACCATATCAAGGAGAAGGGTATAGTCCAGGTTTCTCCCTGCTACACTAATTTTTTTGCTGTCGCATCCTGACCACTTTCTGTTCTGAAAATGTCACTTCCTGTTAATGATGTAACTTCCTGTTTTGAAATGGGAAGTGACATCTAGATGCTGATTGACAGATTCCCTGTCCCATTCCCTCCCACTGCTCCACTGATCGAGGGTGAGGGACCAGAAGCATAGTCCGGATATCCCCCACCAGAACTGGGTGGATTGCGATCCTACCTCCACCCTCAGTGTCTCAGCTGAAGCCACGCCCCCATCACCTTTCTTTCAGCTGTTCAGGCAACCCACATTTGATGACACTGTTCTGCTACCATTTTGTTTAATACCACTCTAATTTTTCTAACATCTGATTTTTTTTATCGCCTTTAGGACTTGATAAGAAAAGGCTGGGTATTTGTTACCCAGTTGTCCTTTATCCTGCTAGGATTCCAGATTTGCATCTTGTCTCCATGGCAGACAATGGTAGGTTTCCAATGTACCTGAGAAGCCACTAGGGCAAATATCTGGGGTTGGTGTTAGAGTTTTCAGTTGACAAATAAACTTACTTAAGAACAAATTCAAATAATACTGATATCTGTTGTTAGGTGTGAGAGGCAGATAGGTAGATGTGTGTCTATGGAGTATGATTTTCTCATTTGTGCTTCTTCTGTTACATAAATTCACATTGCTTATAACATAGGCAGATATTTCATGCCTATCTAATGAATACCAGTACAAACATTGGTGGATAGAAGTATTAGAATTTTGCTATATTACTTTGGTGCAATTAGTACAAATTTTAGCAGCCCATCTGTTATCAACAGTGGGCCACATGGATGATATTACACCTACTTTGGAATCCTTGCATTAGTATTGCCTCTTGGTTTCTGGCTCCAGTTTAAGTGTTGGCATTTATCTTTAAATCTTTTCATAATCTGGAGCCAGCATAACTGAAGGTCCACCTCTCCTGCTATGAGCCCATACAGCAGCTTTGCTCATAGTGTTGCCAGGTGCTTAACTTCTGCCAGCAGGGGGTTCCATGCTTCTTCCCAGGATTTTCCTGTGCGCAGTTTGCGCACGCACTGCAATGACGTCACCCGGAGGTGACATCATTGTGCCAGGCACATCATGTACAGAGACGCTCTAGCATTTGACCAAAAACCCTATGGTCACCACAGAGTTTATAGCCAAATGCTAGAGAGTCCCCTGCACGATGTGCCTGGCACGATGACGTCACCTCCAGCTGACTGGCGGTGGATTAGGCTCCCCAAAATTGGGGAAAACCCCGCCCCCATCGGGGGGGATGACAACCCCATTTGCTCAGCAACCCCCATCGGGGGGATGACAACCCCATTTGCTCAGCTCAGGAGTGCCTTTTGGTTCTACTGACCTCTCACAAGGATACGTTCCACTGCTTCCTGTTCACAGGCTTTTAAAACGGTGTCTCTGATTCTATGGAACAGCCCTCCGGAAGAGATTAGAAGATCTAACTCTCACTTGCAGTTTCAGAGAGTTTGTAAAAGAGAGTTCTTCAGAAGAGTCTTTCAAAGCAATCATAATCAGGTCTACGCAATGTCCTACTCAGGTCTCTCTAATAAGGCTTGTTCCTAGGAAAGTGTTTTTAGGATTGAACTGTTCAACATACCAGGTGATTGCTTTGTTTGGTGCCTTGAATGATAAAGTTTGTTCAGGGGGTGGGAATTATGTTTTTTAAAGAGTTTTTATTGTTGTTGTTGTTTTGTTGTTGCCCATCTTGGATCCCAGTCATCTGGGAGAAAGGAGGGCTTATTAATGCTTTTGATAAATTAATAAAATATGCATGGTTTATAACTTACACTAAAAATGTAATGCCAGCTGAACATTATTTGGTTCCAGGGATAGTGATTGGTGCGGCAACCCACTTGGCCCAGCTGAGGGACATCCTGTTAAACGTGGTCCCAGAACTCCCAGCGGAGAAGACGAAGATTCACCGTACTCTGTTGAAGCAGCTGAGAACCCTGGCGGGAGAACAGATTAGGAATCTGGCTGTAGGTCTTCCTGACTCTTACCTTTTGTGAAGTATAGATAACCTCATGTTCCTTGGCCTTGCTTTCTGGACAGCAGCTGTGAGGAGACAGATCCACTGGCCCCACTGCTGGACCTCCTGATGGCACCTGGTATTTTTGGCCACTGTGTGACAGGGTGTTGGACTGGATGGGCCTTTGGCCTGATCCAACATTGGCTTGGTGTAGTGGTTAAGTGCGCGGACTCTAATCTGGGAGAACCGGGTTTGATTCCCCACTCCTCTACTTGCACCTGGCTGGATGACCTTGGGCAAGCCATAGCTCTGATAAGAGCTGTCCTTGAAAAAGAGCAGTTTCTGTCAAGAGCTCTCTCAGCCCCACCTACCTCACAGGGTGTCTGTTGTGGGGAGGGGGCACAGGGTGGTGATAGGGGATCAGCGGTCCCGGAAACATCCTTTTGAATGTGGGGTGCCTCAGGGGGCAGTGATGTCCCCGATGCTGTTTAACATCTACATGCGCCCCATTGCCCAGATTGCCCGGAGTTGTGGGCTTGGGTGTAAGCAATATGCAGATGACTCCCAGCTCTATCTGATGCTGGGTGGCCAGTCGGTCTCCGGCCCGGATGACCTTTATTGGGCATTGCAGGCTGTGTCTGGGTGGCTCAGACTGAGCCGGTTGAAACTAAACCCAGCAAAGACAGAAGTCCTGGGCCTGAGTCGGATAGTCCTGAATCATTTGATGCCCTAAATATGTGCCTGAACTTCACAGGGATTCCTTTCATTTCAGAATCTATGTAACCAGGGCCGTAGCCAGTGGTGGAGCTTTAGGGGCTCAGCCCCCTATCCAATAAGGGGGAGCTCGAGTGCTAGCCAGCCAGCCACCAGCAAGCCCCAACACCATCCAGCGAGTCAGCTCTCAGAGAGATCTTGAAGAGCCAACTTGCTGGTTCAGCTGGCTGACGCAGATGCAGTGAGGTGCAGGGGTGGGCCATTCTCTAATGACCCGCTCCTGTGCCTCAAAGCGTCTGAGCCAGCCAGTGTGTCGGCGGTCAGAGAGCTGATCAAGAGGTCTCAGAGAGCTCTTGGAGATCCAACTTGCTGGCTCTTGGAGATCCGACTCATCACCATATCTGAGGGCACAACACCCTCCCAAATCCCAGAGTCCCCTGCCAGGAAATTTCCTGGCTATGGGCCTGATGATAACACCCCAGAAAACATTTTCTGCTCCTATAAATCGTCCTGAGACTGTTGCTAAGCATCTACCATACTAGAAGGCCTAGAAGAGAGGGAAGGAGATAATTGGTCTGGTAGGACTCTATTCTGGTTTATTTATTTTATTTATTTATTAGATTTGTATCCCACCCCTCTTCTACAACACGGGGCTTGGTGTGGCTCAGAGCATTTTAAAAGACACACAATGGAACCATAAGGTTCATCATTAAAACAGTTAAAACAGTTAAAATGTTGTCCCTTGACTTACGTTCCCTCAGCTCCTTCAACCTATAAAGGGGAGGCAACTGTCACATGATGTCCATTCCAAGCAGGGGACCTGTAGAGAGTGGGAAAACCATCCATACTCCTGACTAACTGATTCACAAGCATATCTATCCAGCCAAATCAAGAAGCCTCAACACAGTTGCTAGGGTCATTAAGAAGTTCATTTGTAAGGGTCATCAGGGAACCCTTAGAATACCCTTTGTAATGCTCAAGGACCCACTCCAACCAAAGAGGAACAGTTTTACATCCAACAGATTGCAAACCCTTCGTATTCCTTATAAAGAGACAACCAGTCCATGAAGGTAATTTTTTTAGCAGACGAAAAGACCAAAGACAACGGAGTTTAACAGTGCTAACAACACTGAAACAAATAGGCTGTATGGTTATGTATGTGAGAGGGGCAATCAGTTTTATTAATGATAGTAATAATAATGTCCTTGTTTGTCAGTCCTTAGGAGGACACATTGTAAGTAGAGGGTCGACCTGGGATCTGAACCCTGTCCTAGCTGCTGGAAAAGCTATCCTCAATCTGGCATCAACAGGTAAAAGGACTTACAGTATTATTGTTGTTGTTGTTGTTATTGTTATTATTATTATTATTAATCACCCATCTGGGCAATGTACAACAATGAATAAAAAGATCACTATAAAAAATAAAATACATTAATACCGGTAGATAAATTAAAACGAATAATAAAACTTGGTTTAGTGGACAAAATAGTGTGTGGTATCTATAAATCTGTGTCATGTGTGGCCACCAGGGTAGATCCACACAGCAACATCATAATGGTCTATAGGGAAAAATATGATGAAAACCTTCACAAAAAATAGGTCAAGTCAAGAATGATGTCTGATGTTCTACCCCCAAATAGCACCAGAGAGAAGAAAGACATACAGAACTGATATTCTCTCTATTTTTGTGGTGGTGGTGGTGGGGGGAACATAGGATTATGTTGCATTGCATAAAGTCTATGGTGAACAACAGAAAGGATAATCAATAAGAGAAAACTCGGTAGTACTGAATAAAGGCAAAAGAGTTCCCATTCTTAAAAAGCGTGCTGATTTGAACGTGCAAAGCTCTGAACACACTACTTTTAACTCCGGTGGGAAATTGTGGTTATGGGCAGTGCTGTCCTATGCAGAGTTATATGCTTCTAAATCCATGGATTTCGACCTACAGTTCTATATTAGCAATCTCGCAAAATTACACCCTTCTAGCGATTGCAGTCCTAACCTTCTGTGTATGATCAGGATTGCATCACTAGAGGGCTATAAATCTGCAAGTTCACTGACCTCAACAGTTGGTTTGACCCATTGGCGACCTCAGATATTTCTGTTTGTAATAGGTTCTTTGACTAAGCCCTGATGGGCTATATAAGATTTATATCTGTAAAGAGCACATTATGTAAAGGCTTTACTTTTATCAAACAGACGGAACACGACAGGTTCCCCTGAATGGTGAATTCCTCGCACGATTGCCAGAGGCAGACCTTTCTCCAAAAGAGGTCCTAGTCTCAGTTCTGATTCCGTTCTCAGAAGAAGTGAGTGCTTTGGAGGTTTTAGCTCTAATTATGGCTGTTTGGTACTGTTCATCCTCCTTGGGCAGTTTTAACAGAATTTGCTATATTTGTGCTTATGTTGAAATGCTGTAATGGTGACTCCACCATGAACAAACACACCAACCACAGTTTACTTCCTACATAAGAACATAAGAGAAGTCAATGTTGGATCAGGCCAATGGCCCATCCAGTCCAACAACTCTGTGTCACACAGCGGCCAAAAATACCAGGTGCCATCAGGTGCCTGGAGACCAAACTACATGTTGCATACAAATTCATGTACTTAGAGCAAGCATGCACCTAGCTTGGTGGTGGCCAACATGGGCACAGGGCAACTGGCACCCTTGG